ATTAAATAGAATATTAGGGTTTGGGCAGATGCTTTCCATCAAGCTAAGCAAGTCCCTATCTATTCCCATGTTTTTGAGAGTTCTTATCAAAAACCAGTATTGAATTTTGTCCACTGTTTTTTTTTCTGTACCCATTGATATGATCAAACACACACACACACACACACACACATTATTTAACTGACAATATGGGAAATTACACTGATTAATTTTCAAATACTGAACCATTCCTGCATTCCCAAATGAACCCCACTTGGATCCCCACTTGGGTGTATGTTTCTTTTTATATACTGCTGTATTTTGTTCACTAATTTTCCATTAAGGATATTATGTCTTGAATGTCAATCTGTAGTTTTCTTTTACTTGTTCTCCTATTTAGGTTTCAAGGCATACTAATCTAGTACAATTAATCCTTTTCTATTTCCTGGAAGAGGGTGTGTCAAATCAGGGTTAATTTTTCTTTAAATACTTGGTAGTATTCTATAGTGAAATCATTTGGGCCTGGAGATCGCTTTTTGAAGAGGAGTTTCTTTAATTACACATTCAATCTCCTTAAGAGTTGCAAGGTTACTCAAATGATCTGTTTTATATAAGGTCTGTAAAAGTAACATATTAGTTTCCTATGACCGTGCACTCTAATCCAGGTGATTGAGAACAACACAAATGTATTGCTTCACAGGTATGAAGGCTGCAATGTAAAGAGAAGGTGTCAGCAGAGTCACGCTCTGCTGTTCTTTCCTTCAGTGCTCAGCTGCATTTAGCTCCTGGCACTCCTTGGTTCCTGGCAGTATAATTCTACCAACTGCAGACTCATATGCCTTCACTCAGTGCTCCTTTGTGCAAGGTCCCCAGCCATATGTGAGTAGAGCTCACCTGAATACCTCTTAAATCGGCAGACTCTACCTCCAAAAAGTAAAAAGAAAAGTAAGAAAAAAAAATTCCATTTTAGAGTACTGCAGGTTAAGGCTTCAGAGTATCTTTTTTTTTTTTTTTTTTGAGATAAGGAAGAGTTACCTTTAACCCATAACTAGTAGTTTGCATTTTTTCAAGGACCAGGTTCATGTTTCTAAAAGTGTCAACTTTGTGTGTGCAGAGTTGTTCACAGAATTCCCTTATTAGCCTTTCGGTCTCTGCAGTTTCTGGGGCAATATCCCTTATTTCATGGCTGATATTGGTGATTTGTACCTTCTCAGTCTTGGTCAGTTTTATTGATCTTTTTAAACATCCAACTCTTTGTTTCTTCTTTTCAAAATCATTATTATTTTGTTTAAATTCCATTCATTTCTGTTGGTGACTTTATTATTTTTATATATTTTTTTTAGTTTAGTTTACTTTATTTTTTTTTTTTACTAGCTGCATGAGGTGGGAGCTTAGATCATTAAGTTAAACATTTCCCACTTTTTTTGTATATGCATTTAATGAAAAAAAATGCAAATTCCTAATTGCAGACCAGAAATTTTAAGAGGTTATATTTTCATTTTCATTTAATTCAATTCACGTGTTTTTAAATTTTTCCTTGAGACTTTTTTTTGATCCTATATTAGAAGTGTATTCTTTACATTCCAAGTATTTGAATGTTTTCAACTTTTATCTGTAGGATCTTGATTTTCTTTTTGTTTCTGTTGTGTTTGGGGCACATAGTATGATTTCAATTATTTTAAACTTACTGAAGTTTGCTTTGTGCCACAGTATAGTGATCTATTTTCATATCTGTTCCATGGATACTTGAACAAAGCCAGTGCTACTCTTGTTAGGTGGACTGCTTTACAACTGTCAATTAGACCCCACTAGTTGATGGTATTGAGTTCTTTAATATTCTTGATGGCTTTTTTCTGCCTCGTTGTTCTATCAATTGTTGAGAAAACAGTTAAGGACTCCAGCCATAATTGTGGATCTGTCTGTTTCTCCTTTCAGTTGCATAAGCTTGTTGCTGCACATATTTTGCAGATTTCCTGTCTGGTGCGTATGCATTGACGGTTGCTGTGTCATCTTGTTACATTGACTTTCTATCATTAAATGACTTCCTTTTCTGCCCCTGGTAATTTTCTTTGCTCTGTGGTCTGCTGTATCTTCAGTATCAATATGGTCACTATTCTTTCTCTTGAAAAATGTTCACATAATGTATCTTTTCCACACTTTTGCTTTCAACCTTTCTATATAGATGTATTTGAAAGTTTCTGGTAGATAGGGTATAATTATGTCATCTATCTCTGTCTTTCACTTGTAGAATTTAGACAATTTGCATTCCATGTTATTGATATGTAAGAACTCAGAGCTGATAATATTGGTTTTTGTTTATTTTCTCTTTTTTGTTTGTTTTATTTTTCTTGCCCTACTGTAGGTAGCTTAAAATTATTTTTAAGTTTAACATGACTTAGGTATACTCATTTTGAGCATATTTCTCTGTATTGGTTTTCAAAGTAATTTCTCTACCCATGAGCTATAAAAACACGTAATTGTAATTTATGTTCAATTGGCATTGTCAATTTACTAATTAAACCAAGTTATAAATCTTACCTCTCATATATCTCTATGTCTTCTCCCCTTTATAGGTGTCTTAAATGTTTACTTATATTTAGAAGAACATCAGAAAATGTTGTTTGCTCTGACAAATATAGAATTGAAAGAAGAAGGAAATCCCATTGAATTTACCATATTATGCTTACTGTGTTCCTCTTCCCTGATGCTCCAAGAGTCCTTTCCAGTTTGATTTCTGTTTTGAGAACCTCCCTGTGGCCATCTTTGAAGATGGGTCAGCTGGGATCCATTCTCATTTTCCCTGGATGGGGAGTCTGAATGTCAATAACTCTTTTCCTCAGCACTTGATAAATGTGGCATCATTTACTCCTGATGGCCATAGCTTTTGATGAGAAATCACTGTCATTTGAATTATTCCCCCCACAATGGGTAAGGTGATATTTCTCTTCTACTGTTACAACAGTTAGTGCTTTATTTTGCTAAATTTATGTCTTTTTCATTTGCTTCAAGCATTTTTGTATTGCTCAGCAAGTTACAGTCCTTCCTTGGTATCCATTGCCTGGGGGTATTGGTTTCAGGCTCCCAGCCCATTCCAAAATCCAAGGATGCTGAAGCATGATATTCACATATAACTTATGCACACCCTACCATATATTTTAAATCATCTCTAGATTAGTTATGTAAATGTGATGTACATAGCTTTTGCCTAAGAAATAATAGCAAGAAAGAAGTCTGCATGCATTCAATACAGACACTTTTTATTTCAAATATTTTCTGAGATTTGTTCTACTCACAGATGTGGAAACTATAGCCATGAGGAACCAACTGTATTTTTATAATGACTGCCTTAAAAGCTTTGGCAGATCATTTTCATATCTCTGTTATCATGGTGGAGATTATTTTCCATCCAGCTTTAAATATTCCTGGTACTTGACAGGGTAGAGCAATTTTCTATTAATATCTGTTCATTTAGGGCATGATGCCTAAAGTTTCCGAATCTTGTTTAAACATATGTTTTAGCTGGCTCCTCTTGACACTGGTACTGTAGGACAAGGCAGATGGGATAATGCTGCCCCATAACTACCAGGTGGTGCAGGGATCTAGGTTCCTTCTGGGCTTCTGTTAACAATAGATGGTAAGAGTCCTTGGTGCTGCTATGTAGGGGAGGGAATTCAGGCTGTTCACTGCTCTCCACTGATATCCCTGGCTGGGAGTGGTAAGGGTGCCACAGGGTCTCCAGTGACTGAGACAGGGGGTGTCACATCGGGACTATGGCTTTTTTATACTACTCCTGAGTAGAGTGGGGTGGAAACCCATTACTGCTGTGTGGGTGTGAAAGTTTCCCCCAAAGTGGGGAAAGAGGGTTACTACTGTCTTAGGGGTTAAAAGTCCTGGCTTCCTACCTTGCCTTAATACTACCTATGTGAGTGGATAGGAAGGAGGCCCCACTATTGTGTGGACATGGAAAGCCAGGCACCACTGGCACCATGACCAGGGTGAGAAAGGATTGGAGAGTGTGTTAGGTACTAGAGCTAATGAAAGTCCTGGTCCCCATTCAGCCTTCTCTGATACCACCTGACCCAGAGACATCACTTGCATCCCTTCATCCCAGCAACAGAGAACTGTGGACTTTTCCTTTAGCCTTTGATGGGCAGCTGAGAGTGGAGTCTCAGGTTTCTCTTGTGTGTTAGCCAGGGTGAAGCAGTCATTGTCTGTGAATTTTCTGTCTTGCTAGGCTGCCTCGACATTTCACTAGAGAGGGAAGCTTTTATTGGGGCTTTTTCTGTTGCTATCTTTGACATCAACAGGTTGTCATCTTCTTTAGCCCAAGTCTGGGATGTATATGGTGGAAAGAAAAGCCCAGAAACCCACCCCTGGGACATTCCTTGAGTCTCAAGGTCCCTGGCTGCCTTACATGCTCTGTTCCCCTTCTTGTTATGTCTGTTTTATAATCTCCACGGGTTTAGTTGTACTTACAAGGAGCAGTAAGAAAAAGTGCATTTATTCCAGTTTCCCAATCCTGGCAGTCTCCAGCTTTCCCTTTTTAGTTTGTTTTTTAATTAAAAAAAAAAAGAATAAACTGTGTCCCCATCTTAACAGACATTTTCTGCTATCCTTTTTTAAACAATGCTCATTTTTGCTCAAGGATATACGGATCAGGCAATGGTGACATTTGTGACAGCTTCCAGACTCAGAGCTGGCTTCAGAAGGATGGCCACTGTCACAGGTTTTGAAATCTCTCTGTGTTCCCAGGTTCTGACACGGTAAGAGACTGACTGGTGACAATTAAGGGGAATGAAATAGATAACGAAATGTGAGGACCAAAAACGGAAGAGAAAGGCCAAGCGAAAGGATGCACTCTTCTGGGTGATCAACCATCATGTGCCAGAAGCCAAAGGAAAATAAAACTAGGGGCAGCCAAAGGTGTGGTGCGCGCCCAGTGGAGAAAGCGGGAATTGCTGGACAGCGCGACTGTGAGAAAGTGGTTGAGCAACTTCAAGGCTCTCACTTGCCTTGACGGGAGAGAACCGGAGGGAGGGGACCGGACCCTGGGGCGGGGAGAGAGAGACTGTATCGAGTCACCTCCGCTGTTGGGCGCGGGGAGTGGCAGGGAAAGCTGAGAAGCAACCCGGGGCAGCTGACACTTGGGTATGCTGGAGGAAGGAAGCAGCAGCCTTGCAGAGGGTAGAAGCGCTCGCCAAGCGCTCCGCACCGTCTGACTCAACCGTGCGAGGGAACCACTGGGAGGTCGCTGCGCTCGGCGCTTCCCCTCCAGGGAGGAGCGAGCCTCAGCTGCCTCCGCTGCGCATCTGTCCCCGCGTGCTTCTGTCCCCGCGCGCATCGGTGCCGGCTCTTGGGGAGCCAGTTTCTCGCACCGCAGACTTCCCATCCTCCGCCTTTCCTTAGCGCCTGTAAACAATGGATGGCAACTCCCTGCTCTCGGTACCAAGGTAAGACTCGCTTGCCCCTATGCCCAACCCAATGGCCCTCAAACTCCGTTCTGAGCTTCGGGTTCGCTCAGAAACTTGCCCTGGGGCTCTTCGGTTTGCGCGGGTCACCAATGAAGGAGCTTGGGGTCGCTGCACTAGCAATTAAGTCCCGCACCGGCTGTGGGAGCCACTCTCCAATGATCGCTGTCCTGTCAGCTGCCCCCGCTGGGCGCGATGTTGGGTGGGGCCTGAGCATAGGGGCTACAGGGGATGGGGGACCGCTCGGTGCCCTCCTCTAGGTCCCTGGGACTGAGATGTCCTCTGCCCTGCGAGGTACCCTGGAGCCAAGCTGGAGAGGTTTTCTCAGCCTTGTCGGGGACGCGGATTCCAAGGTAGGGATGAAAACCGGATGAAGCAGGACTAAGGCAAACTGTCCCCTCTTCCCTTATCTTGACCTGGGCGGGTGTCTGGAGGTGCTGGGGTGAGGAATGGTGGTTGGTAGGGGTGAGGGTAGATGGCCCCAACCTCCGCCGGGCACCTAAACCGCGCCTACAGTGATCCAGAACAGAAGAGACCTCAGCCCCTTCCAGTCCACCCTCCCCGCCTGCCTTACACCCCCCACCCCTACGCCAGTCTGCTAATTACTCCTTTAACATCTGGACTCCTTTAGCATTTCCAGACTCTCAGCGCTGAGGCTAGGGTGCTGGGGTTCCAGGTGAAGTGCTAGTCTGCTCCTGTCTCCTCCACTCCCTTGGCTCCTGCACTGCTCTCCTTCAGATACAATCTGAGAATCCAAGAACCTGGGAATTTTCTCTTTCTTGCACGGTAAATCTCAGGGGTAAATTGGGATCCTGGCTCTAGTTGGGCTCCAGCAGCTGGGCAGGTAGCTTTGCTCTCTCTGTGGTTTGGCGCATCCGGGAGCATTCACACTCTGGGGAGGAGGATTCTGTACTCACAGGTCCAGGGTAGTGCTATCTATGGCCAGCACCGCCTCACCTCTCCTCCTATGGAGCTTAGTGTTGATCCTCTTATCATCTTCTACTTCCTCCTTTCCCCAAATATCTAGGTAGCATCCTGTCGAGTTGAGAATATCAGACACTGGAATAAACACTTTAAGCTTGGATTCTTGGAGAGCAGCAAGACCCAACGCCCACAGGCTGGGCACATATGTAGCTGATATTATATTACCAAGTAGCCAAGCAGGAGGTGGGAGTGGGGTCCGGGTGGTAGAGGGGGTTAGAGACTGCCTTTCAAACCTTTGAAGCCCGCCATCTAGAGACCCCCATAAGCATATCTTACCATGAGGGTACCAAAAGGCTTCTGAAAGACCCATCGGGATTATTGTGCAATGCCCAAAGCTGTTCTTAAGTGAAAAGTTTGTAATATTCTGAGTCAAACATGGTCAAAAGACCACTAAGTCTTTCAATTCCGGCTGCAGGAAGAGGACAAGTATGAACCGCTATAAGATTTTTTAAACTACTACTTAGGGCAAAAGGTCATGTAACTTGAAATGATGAACTAAGTGTCCCCACCATTCTAATATAGATACTTTTAATAGATCACTTATTTGAAATCGAGTTTTACAGACCAATACCACTGTGACTGAATCATGGTTTATTCTTATTCAAATGGGGGGGGGCATTTTATGAATATTAGAAATACATTGTGATAATAATTTCTTAAAATTATTTCTACGTAATGACCCTATAAATAACAGACTGACTGCACTGATATTGCTCTATGTCTTATAGTAGTCTATTCAACTCTCCATAGAGATTTAACATCAGCTGCAGAAAATTAAACTTTTGGAATATAGCTGCCTATTCTTCCAGAGATATCACATTCTCACAAATCAGTGTAGTAATTTCATCTATTTTATTAGCATCCTTATCCATGTATATTAACTCCAATTGATGAGTTACATATGCAAAAAGCAAAATAGAATTTTAAATTATGTATACAAACATGTATTAGTCATACGACTTATCCACAAAACCTTGAACATTGAAGAACTAATGATTGGATATTATACACAAATGTTTTTAAGAAGATTACAATGACTAGGAAACATCAAATTAGTATCAGTCAAGGCTCACATTGTACAAATCTGAAACATTTTCAGTATCTGATAAAATTAAGTTGGTGATTATAAATCCTTGCTTCTCTTGAGCAAGAATATATAACAAGGATGAGCAAGGATATAAAACAGTTTAGAAATTCCTTTCAGCAACCAGACAGAGAAAACAAAATGATGTGGTCATATAGTGAGTTAATTAAAGAACACATTTTCTTTATTGGCTTTTCCATTTTCTTAGTGTGTTTAATTAAATGTATAAATGAGATTTTTAATCAAGCAATATTCTGTGAAGATTGAGCTCAAAATTTAATTTGCCTCATATACTTTATAAACTTTAAATCATGGGTTTTTAAAAAAGAAAATGTTGATTCTTTGAATTACCATACTACATTATGTTACTGCTGTGAAAGCTCCAATTCATTTTTACTATGAATATTTTCATTTTCAAATGCAAAATAGATTATGTGGATTACATTGCAAATTTCTTAAAATCACTGTTCATCAAAGTTGAAAGAGGTTTCCAAAAAGGAAACCGAACTGTGAAGGAATTAAATGCTTCCTCGTTTGTTGCATTATAAATCCAGAATCTTCGTTGCATTATAAACACAGAATCCAAGTGTTTTTTGACTAGTAGTCCAGTTCAAAGAAAGAATACATTTTAAAGGAAGCTGCTTTTTGTTAGGGGGTGGGAGTCGGGGTTTTATTTAGAAGTTTTGGTAGAGTTTCCTCAGTCGTCTATTTTACAAAAAGTTTATTGAATTTTCTAAGGACACACAACTAGGTTTTAGGAAAATAAAAGAATCCAACGTCTCTCCTCCAACACATCCAGTAGCACATTTATTGTATGGAAGTTTCTCCTCACAGAAGCAAAGCCTGTTTTATTTATCAAGTGATATCCCTCCTTGGGTAATTTGATCATTATATCCTCTGCATTAATTATTACAGATATTTATCCACTTCCTATCAAAAACTCTAAAACAAAAGAAAAATAAAGAAAAAAATTGGATTTTTAAAATTTACACAAATAGTATGTAGCAGGGCTAGGTCACCCCCAAAGTTCTTCTGGTTTCTTTCTTCTATTAATTGAGAACCCACACACTTTGTTTCAAATGGGGGGAAAAGAAATTCTAAACACAATTTGGAGAAATAACTGATGTCATTCTTAGAACACATGGGGGCAGTCTAAACGCAAGAGGATTATCTTTTAAAGGCAGCAAGTACTGAAAATATTTTTCTTTCTTTTGTAAACAGAAATGATTTGTCACTTTGACCACATCTAAACTTGAGTTAAAAGTTTAAAAAAGAAGTCTTCTCTTATTTCCTAAATATTTGCACATATTTTTTTCTTCTCTTTTAACTTATCAGATTTTATTTCAATAATAAAGTTTTGACATGACTCACATAGAAAACCAAAGTTGATCAAAGATGAACTTTTGAAAACAATTAGGCATACTGATTTAGGTTTCCTGTCAGATTATTTTAATTAACCTGAAGTTTACATGGCAATATGTCACTAAAATTCACCTGAACCTCAAGATTATGTCTCTCAGAATCTTAGTTCCAGGAGGAAAAAAGAAAACTAAACTAATTGTAATACAGATACTTTTAACAAGGGCCCTGTATCAGCAAAGTTTTACTTTATGGTTAGGTCCTCAGTTTCATTCAAAATGAGAAATGCAAGAGTGTATTTATGTTTCTGTGTCCTGTTTCTGGAAAACTCTTGAGGAAAAAAAAAACTGATCTAATACTCTTAAGTTGAGGAACAGAAATGAATATCGTATGCTGCCTTAGGTGTAAACTTAGATGATGCTTCACCCTGGAATGCTGTCCTTAAGGTCATGCTAAGCTGCAGCCACATGACCAATTCATAAATGTCAGGACAACACCACCCCACAAGGTACAACTGGGGATTAGTAAATCCAGATGGCCAAGACTCTGGGAACCTGCATTGCTACTGGGTAACAGGTACCTCGTGAAGAGATGGGAACTCTGACAGCAATTTCCAATAGAAATAACTTCATAAAAGTCTTGAAGTGCATCACTCACACTGCACTTCAGGTACTGGCAACTTTTATAAGTCCTTGACCTCTATCCATGCGGTGCCTTCAGTAGAATATGTACATATCTGCTAAAAACACTCAACTCATAAATGAACTAAGTAGGAAGCATGTTGTTTTGAAGAAGTCTCCTTTAGATAGTATTACTCATTTGAATGCAGGTTTTCTCTGTGTGCGTGAGTTTCCAATCCAAAGATCTTTAAGGAAAAAAGAGATAGTAATATACTTGGTATGTTGAGACATGGTGTTTAGTCCTTTTGGAGAATGAATGACCGTCACAGCCTGGGCATCTCTCACTTGGGCACTCTGTGGATCAACATCTCACACTCTTAAAAGAGGTAAGTGAGAAATCAAGGCATTAAAAAGAACTGAAGCAACACCCACTTGTGTGAGAGAACACTAGGCCTAGAGCATGGGTGATTTGTTTTAATATTCCCCCATATGAGGAGAGAAACATTACGCTTACGTAAGGTGCAGTAAAACCTTACTCTTTTGTAAATAAGATCCTGATTCTACCATGATAGTTATTGGCTATCCATTCCGAAGAAAAATGCTTATCTACTCTGTAGATTTTTTTCATCATCCATGAAATGTGAACAAAAAACACACTTCAAACACTTGGAAGGATGTTTTGAGGACAAATTGAGATAGCCTGGGTGAAGGACAAGCAACAGTGCTATGTTTGAGCTTTGATACCGATCATAATGGATAAATCTCTGCAAATACAATTCATAATAAAATTTAAAAATCAGTACTAGTAAATAGCTCACATGACTTAGACATGCAGTCTACTTTCTCTGAAATTAGTACACTACTCTAGTTTTCTTTTGGTTTATTTTTTCTATCTTTTTGCTTTTAATCTACTTAGGATTAATAATAATAATTTT